CAACCAGCCATCCAAAAGTTATACAAGGGAGAGCACATACCTTAAATGTATTGAGTGAAAAAAACTCCACCAATGGGTTGACTGCTTTGTCAGTTGGGTCAGAATTAAAAAATCATGTAAGTAAACTCGCTAAAGCCTTCCGAAGCACAGAAATGTCGGAAACATTAAAAATTCACGTGCTTCTAAATCATTTGGAACATTGTCTGCATTTTTTAGGCAACGACAGCTTCGGAATGTGGTCGGAGCAAGCTGGAGAATCCATTCATGGCGTATTTTTAAGATTTTGGCTCAATTATAAAGTTAATTCGATTGACGACCCTAAATATATAATCAATTAAAAAAAAAACTGTCGTTGAATTTTCATCAAAATACATATGAATTTATATAAAATAATATTTTATATTGACTTTGTAAATTTATAAAATTTATGCAATAAGAATTATTAAAATATGCAATTATGTAATATTATCTCTTGAATAACTAAGTTAAAATATTTTATGCTTATATAAGAAAGTGTTATAATTATATTACCATAGACCTTCGCGATTATATAACTGGATTTGGAAAGTTCTAGATCAACATTTTATAATATTTTAAGCATAGGAGCAGATGGAATTTTATTTTCAACGAAATTTTGATCTATGATTATGTACAAAGACAGTTATGTAAGCCGTTTTGGTTGGCATTTTAGTTATAGCTATGGTTGCTTCAAGACCACTGTGTAGTGTAAACCTAATTTTAGGTGAAACATTTCATTAAAATAGAGCATTGTAAAAATTAAATACAAAGAACTTGGTTTTATTCAGTCACAGTACGCTTCAGTCCTAAACAGAACTGTTTATCCCCCCAAGGGTAAAAAACCACAAACTTTCATTGCCTTGCCGACTGGGTCAATTCAAGCTACTGAAATAAAAAGGTCACTTGCCGCCCGTCCCGTCAAACACAGAGATGTTACAGCAACGCACAAGGGTGCTGTGTTGCTCAGTGAACATGGAAAGTGGTTTAAGCTACGGCTAAAACCTAAAACCCCCGAAGAGTAAAAACGGTTTTATATTTGGCGTAGCATCGAAAGTGAGCGAATCAACTTCGGAGTGCAGTGGAATATTCGTCAGCCCAGTGGTGACTGTAGTTTTTTCAATAATATTTGTGAAGCTATTTTCTATTAAGAAGTTAAATTGAAGTTTGTGTGGCGTAATTTATGTTTGAATTTTGTGCATAAATTTAGTTTTGCAGCTAAGAGAAAGCAGCTTTGTGTGTTTTTAACTTTGACTTGTGAGTAAGTTGCTTGACGGTGGAATCTCTTTTCTTATTCTTAAGACTGCGGACGCTTCGGCGTCGAGTGTCCAAAATGACGTGCGCATCTTTGAAAAACGCGCAGGCCAATTTGGGCAAAACCAGTAAAACAAGGCAGAAAAGGGCATCTAACTCCTTAAATTCGAAATGAATAATTTAGTTGAAAATTTTAGTGACTCAAGTGAGAGTGTGAGCTGTAAAGAGCTTCCACCGTTCAGAGGCATGCTTGTTAAGGGAGGTTCGCTTGTGGATTTAGTACAGGCTAGTGATGTGTTTTCAGGTGGTAATAATACATTCGTGGCAAATAAAATGGGATGGCCTGTCTCCTCCGATTTTGTCAGTGCAGGTTTTAATGTTTCTAATGCTAATGCTAGCGGTAGTGTGGGTGCGGATTGCACTAATGCGAATAGAGCGAGTACAAGTAAGAATGCCAACTCCAGCAATAAAGTGGATGGTAAACGAAATTTTCCGGATAGCCATCGCAGTTATGAAAGCCCGAAGCATAAATGCGATTTTAAGGGTGATACGGTCCTTATGGATACCTCTAAAAGTGCTGGTTTTAAAAGTAAGGGTGCTAAAAATGGACTTTTCTTGTTTGGTAAAATTCGTAAATTATGTGTCAAAAGGCTAAAAGATATTGTGGCGATTGGTAGGTGTCTCTACAATTTTTTTTATACAATTGAAGATGCAAGTTTGGCTAACACTGACTTGCAGTACACGGCCATTAGGGCCTTCATTCCGCGAAGATTTTTGGAAACCTACGGGGTCATAAAAGAGGTACCGCTGGATTTTCTTGACGACGAAATCTTAGGGAGTATTCATTCAGACTAGAGATGGGCACGGGCCGGGCTTTTGGCAGGGGACCGGCGGGCCTCTGCGTAAGCACGCGGGTACTGGCCGGAATATTTGCTGTCAGCACGAACTTGTGCGTGCATGGGCATTTCATAAAAGCACGAATAAGCACGAAAAAGACCGCTGCTAATACTACAAATTTAGATAAGATTTTGTTTTTATACAAAAAAAAATAGTACATATTAAAACTCTTTTGATAAGAGAAAACCAAAAAACAAATATTTGTAAACCGATAGAAAAAATAAGATACTTAGTAGTTTTGTTTACATATCTGTACATAAAATACATTCCACTTCCACTCCCAGAAAATATATAATAAAAATCTTTGATGTAAAAAATTGATTCGCATAAGTAAATATACATACATAAACACAAAATTAAAAATATGTACATATGTATACATACAATAAAAGTTGGCTCTTTATTTCCGGGCTGGACGTGTCCCGTCGTGCCGGGACGGGCCGGGCCGGGCCCAACTAAAATTCTTAACGTGCGGGATCGTGCGCGTTTTTGAAAGTTGATTTTGCACTCGTGTCGGGCCGGGCCTGAAAATTTAGGCCCGTGCCCATTTCTAATTCGGACATTTCAATGCTTTCGGTCGCTAGAATTACTAGAAGACCTGTTGAACAATGACAAATTCATTCCCAGTCTGTCCATTATTTATTCCGGACTGTCAGAAGTTTTCGTCTCGATTTTAGAGTAAACCATTTTTCCCCGTAGCGGAACAATGTTTTAAGTGTGGGCGTCTAGGGCATACCAAACTCTCGTGTAAGTCTGTGGCAAGGAGAAGTTCTGCACAGATAAGTGTACTAGTACAAACCCGAATTGCATTTTATGTGGAAGCAACAGTCACTTGCCGTTTAATAAAAACAAATGCCCCAGCTGGGAAAGAGAAAGGCAGGTCATCGAGGGTACTAAATGGGAGAGAACCGGTGAAATAGAAAAACTGTTGAGTCAACAAATTACTAAGCTCAGCATTGATGCGGAGAAGCCTACGGTAAAGGCTTTGGGGAATTTATTAAAAACAAAGGTAGATGAGAGACTTATCGTTAATCAAAATCACAATGACAATAAAGCGCGTACAGTTTAACTGCCAGAGTCTTAAATAGAGACTACTTATATAGATTTTTTTAATGAATCACACTCAGAACACAGTGGTATCCATAGGATTTGGTATCCATAACCAAATAATGTAACTATAACCAAATCATGTGTCGAGAGAAACATTTTTAGTTGACATAACTAAACTATTTTCTCAGTCGTAACAATATTGACATAGTGGTCCTTTACGAGTTTTTTTCTTCTTGGGGACATTAAAGAAGGGCATAAGTTAATTAATTTCAAAATTCAGAGCTGATGTTTACGGAGGGGTAGCTATTGGTGGCAGAAAACAAAACATTCGTTTGAAGATGATCTGGTATAACTCTAATTTTTGATGTTGTAGTGGCTAAGACCACGAATCTTCTTCAAAATTTTATTATGGTTTAGGCATATTTTCCTCCTACGTTGAACAGGTATCTGTTTGACTACGAAGTAAATCGTTTAATGCTTTGTTTGGAAGGGCGTAAAAACGCCCTACTCTTGGGCGATTTAAACACGAAATCTAGGGCGTGGGTCAGTCCCAGGGACCTCCCCAAGGGAAGGGTCCTGCGGAGTGCTATCGAAAAGGCCCAATTTAAATGCTTGAAAGACGGAAGTCCAATGTTTGCCAAAAAACAAGAACAGTCCTGGGGGTTTGTCGGTTTTACACCTTTCTTTCATAAACTCGGCATGTCAGCTTAACTGGAAAGTATGTCCTGTCTTTATTGGTGGTTTCGGGCTTGTAAGTGATGAGGGTATAAATGATATCTGCAATGCCATTAGTAGTGAGGTTAGTAAGAGAACAATTGACCTCAATTGGATAAAGGGTTCCCTTCGTGCGTGGAGGAATGAGGGGATTGAGAAACAATATCGATTGTTGTTTGCTTGTAGGAAAAAGGCCAGGCGATCAGTGTCAGAATCTGATAGCAATCGGGCTAAAATCGATGAGTTAAACGAGGTTTGTAAACAGTGTGAAAGGTAGTCAATATAATAATAATAGATTGGCGCTTACTAAACATATGTTAGTGTTTGGCTGAGCTTCTCCTCCGATTTGTGGTGTTCGCCCTGATGTTGTCACACAAAGGGAAGGGACCTACAGTTTTACGCCGAATCCGAACGGCGATTGTATTTTTATAAGAATCTGTTTTTAATGGCGGAAATACACTCGGAGGTTTGCCATTGCCTGAGAAGGGGCGACCGATATATATATACTAATAGATACGTTAGTCCAAAAGTTATGATTTTGCTGCTAAAGAGGTGGTTGGTTGCAAAACCAGACCACGACCAATCGTTACGACAGTGAGTATTGAGGAGGTCCGGATAACACTTGAAATATGGAGGGAACACTTCTCGAAACGTTTTGGTGCCGTTTGTATGCCAGCGAGGCTGTTCAAAGTCGGCGGCAAAAAACTCGTTGCTGAGCGAGATTAAGTCATAAAATAAATCCCCGAAGAAGTACTTTACCCGATTCCACAGAATAAAGTCCTCTCGACGACATTGTAAGAAAGACTAACCCCTTTTATGACCGATTCTTCGTGGAATTTACAGCATTTGATAGCACGAGAGGAAGCTGCCTTTACGCCGCCAGGTCTAAATATGGGATTCCTTCAAAACTAATACGGATAATTAGAGTAGAGTTGAGCTCGATTTTAACTCCGTTCAAATTGGGAAGTATCTATCCATTCGAGACAAACGGGGCTTAGACAAGGCGACTTACTCGAATTCTGCGTTAAACACACATTTAGAAATAATTTCATCAACATATACAAACTCACTTTAACAATGTGATGACTGTTTGTTCTGGCAACTTGGGGTTTCTTCCTCGATAGTCCACAAGTATGTCAGTGGCGCGCGCCGGATGTGTTTCTAATATTTTTATAAGCGAACTTTTGATGGCCGTGCGCACAGTTTCATCCTTGTCCGCAAGGCCTTCGAATAGATTGTTTAGAATACCTGAAAAAAAGAAAACATTTAAAGATAAGAAATCACGTTAAAAAATAATTTTATCAAACATTGAAAGTCTGTTTGTTACCACTACTTATTAAAGTATGTGCATTTGTAGCCTTTGAACAGGGTGCACACCTAAATGAATTACAAGTAAGCTGGTTTGTATTTTGCTTCATTTCTTAACTCTTTGCCGCAAATACGTTTGCTGTTACCAACGAGTGAGATATGTAATGTGCATAGCGCTGCCAATGCCCCACTGAAAGTAAAACCACCAGCTGTGAGACCAGTTTGCGAATATTTTGCATAGGCGAGGAAGCCCCACAAGTAATTGAATTGGCCTATATTCACTTTTATACTTTCGTTGGTGTGTGCCGCCAGTCATACAACATATACACTGCACTACAGTCAAGCTTTTGAGAAGTGAATGTTGAATTTCTACAAACCAAAAAATTTTAAAATAGGGATTCCGGATTGTTATCGATATACCGACTTTTCAAGTCCTAATTAACTAATGCGCAAAATGTACCTAATCGAATAAGAATTCGAAAAAATATAATTTGTACCAATTTGTATTTGCGCAAATATATGTGTGGTTATTTTGCGTATAAAAAACTTTTACAGAATAAGGAGAAAGATTCGTAGTAGCTGTCCGCGTAAGCTCTAAATAAACTAACAAGTTATCAAGCGGAAAACAAATTTCAGACTTTGTTAATACGGGTAGGAACTTCCTTAAAATTTCCAAACAATTTATTTATTTATCCCATCAATTGTTTGCTATAATTACGGTGACCATATTTATGAGAGCCGAATCCGGGACAAAAAATATTTTTTCAAATTTGTTCCACAACAGCTTACAGATCTTAAAGCCTTCTTCAATGATCCTAGATGTATTAGCCCTGAAACAGTATCCTTATAGTAACATAACAAATTTGTAGGATAATTTTCTCAAGATTTGTACCCCGTAAAATTTGTTAAATTTTAGCATAATAAAGTGCAACTTTAAGTTGCCAAGGCTTACCATTAATTTTTGGCAAATTTTTTTTTTTTGTTGACGGTGTTACGCATTTTTTTCATATAAAGTTAGTATGTTCCATCATTTTTTTTAAAGAGAAGCAAATGAGCAGCACTTTCCACTCGCACTTTATAATACTCAATTTTAATGAGTTACAAAACTGCAAACCAAATTTTTTCTAAAGATTGTAATTAAAAAGATTGAAATTTCGGTGAAAATTTTCAACATTAATTTTCATATTTTTTTGCACAAAGTTGAAAATTTGTATTATATGGTTTTTGTTAGGAAAGGAGCTTTACTTTCAAAAAATAAATACTAAACATTAAATAAATCAAGGAAATATAGCCAAAACTTACTAAAATGTCGAGTCCTAATTTCTATTTTGGTCACTGTATGTATTCCTCGATTCGAATCACAGGCATTCAGATTAGAAAATAATAACTGTTTATGGAGAAAATTAGGATCATATACCAACATCACTTAAAACTCGTTCATAGGCATGCCATTTTAATGAGCTATTAAGGCGTCGAAACACCGAATACGGGACAACAAATACAGGACTTTAAAAGAAATACAGAACATTTGGCGTCCCGTATAAAATAAATAAATTACCAGGACAATGGGTCAAAACAGAGCACTGTCCCGTATAATACAGGACGGATGGTCACCGTAGCTATAATTCACTCTTCGCTTGTATAAATATGTACAATAATAATAATAATTGATTGGCGCTTTCACTATGTTAGTGTTTGGCCGGGCTTCTCCTCCGATTTGTGGCGTGCGCCTTGTTGTTCTTACACAAGGTGGAGGCACCTGCAGTTTTACGCCGACTCCGAACGGCGATTGTATTTTTATGAGAAGCTGTTCTTCACGGCAGAAATACACTCGGAAGTTTCTCATTGCCTGCAGAGGGACTACCGCTATTAGACATTTATTTTTATTTTTTGATATTGGGTTGAACCAGGCTTGAACCCTGGCCCTGCGTAATAGCGACACGACAGTGTTTCGACTATATGGAGGCAGGTGGAAATAATAGTACACCTGCACCGATTTCACTGAAACTTTACATGTGCTCAAGTTTTACTTAGAAATAGAGAAGTATGAAATTTTATAAAGATGGAATAATTTCCCGCCGTCTACTCTTGTGGGCGGAAACATTAAATTTCATCCGATTTCGATGAAATTTAGTGTGTAGTCTTTATTTTATTAGAAAAACCGAAATATAAAATATGGGCAAGATTGGAGTACTATAACGTCCAAAACTAACCAAAAATATGGGCGCAGTCATTAAATGTGATGGAATTTTGGTTAATTTTTGTTTCCTGCTTTCCACTCTCAGAAAACAAAGGTTATACTATAAAATGACTTAGGTGTAAATAATCGCCTTTTCCCAATGTTTGGTGAGATTTTTTCATTGTTCGAAAAATTCTTTTTGCGAAATTATGCAAAAAGAAGCTGAAAATCAAAAATTAAGAAATTCAAGATTTACATATATTTGCAAAGTCGCGCGCAAAGATCAAATTATATATTCGAAAACTACATAAAATTCTCCAAAACATTCGTCTAATTTCAAGACCTGACGGACCGGTACTCACACTTTTTTTTACTAATAATCTTTAACATCTACATTTCAAAGTAAATTTGGTAAATTGGTAAGAAAATAGGAAAGTACCAAATAAATGATAAATACCTTCACCCGATTAGTCGGTATCGCGTAGAGGTGTCAAACTATCGATAGTCACACCATCGATAGTTTTGATAGTTTTCAGAAAAACTATCAATATTCACGATAGTCTCGAAAAAAACAAAACTATCGATAGCTCTATCGATAGTTAGGTTGCTTTGTTTTTACAGGATCATAGTGAAATAAATATTATCTTATAAAAGTTATAATCATTCAAAATTAAATATCTGCTTAGCCAAAATACTTCTCTTTTTAGAAAGTTCAAAAACAAACACAAGTTATACAAACAAAAAAGGATTTACGATTAAGATATGTATGTATAATTTCAAAAAACTTGGGAGAGAACACTGTGCGACAGCGGCGGTGTTAAAGCTATGGAGGTTTCACTGTAATATACATACATACATATATGTAGTTGAAGGTTCATGGTATGCAACAAGTTGAAGTCACCTACATAGAAACTTTCATGTGGTTTAAATGGATAAAATAGGGTCGATGTTATTTTGGAAAATATCTCAGTTGAGTTGATAAAAAAATAAATAATGAATTTAAATATACATACATAGTATGTACATATGTACATTAAGCATTATCATTATAAAGGGTGCCCTAGACCAACCGTCCACCCCCTCTAAAATGGAAGGAAATGTTAATTTTTTGAAAAGCGCAACCGGAAGTAAAATTTTTTTAATTTGACATACACATTTTTACTACTGATTCAGATTTTAAGGATAAAAATACGTAACTTTTGTTTGCAAATTTTTTCTCGGAAGTGCCTTTTTCAACCCCCAATTGACCTTCGAACTTCAACTCGTCTTGTACTTCTAAAATGGACGAACATATTTTTATTGGAAAATGAAAAAATATGAATCACCAAGTCGGGGACGTTTTATCTTTTGGTCGTATTATCGACTTCCGGAAGTCCATTTTTTTAATACGACCTATGTATGTACATGTCTTTGCCACAGATTCGGATACGGCGCACAAAAATACACAACTTTTGTCAGAAACTTTTTTCTGGAATAGACTTCGGGTTGAAACAATGCACTTCCGGTCTGTTTAACCCACTTACGGTCGAAACCGTAAATCGGTAATTCGGCCAAAAGATAGAGCACCGTCTTAGTAATTAATTTTTTTTCGAGGGCCATTTAGGGCCGATTTCACCAACTCTGGTTTACATTAATCCCTAGTTAAACACCATTGCCGATGTTACCGACCCAATGTTATATGTATTTCAAACAAAAGTTACGCATCTTTATCCTCAGAATCTGAATCAGTAGTAAAACATGTACATATGTCTAATTTAAAAAAAGATGGACTTCCGGTTAGTTTAACCCACTTCTAGTCGAAGCCGGAAGTCGTTTATACCATCAAAAGATAGAGCATCCCCGATTTGGTATGTCATATTTTTGCGATTTTCAAAAAATAAACATTCCCCTTCATTTCCCTCCAGATGGGGTGGACGGGTTGTATATGAAAGAAAAAAGGAGTTTAACGTGTGTACTCCAAAGTACTCAGTACTCACGAAAGAACTCGAAAATGCTCAGAAC